TTTGTGCAGAAGCGACTGAAACGTCGTTAAATAGCTTCCAGTTCTCGTATATACCAGTTTATAACACTTCGTGCGCTGCCTGAAAGTACTAATTTCATGAAATTATTTGTAACATAACTAAATACTCCAATTTCAATTAAATTGTAGAATAATCGTCGAATTAATTATTTCTTTTTTAGTATTAATGAATACGATGGATCGATACTGGATTAGCTAAATATCGAATAAAAAAAATAAAACAAGTCTTCGGTCGTATCATACGATCTAAATGAAAGAGAAACATGATAAGCTAAATCTATCATGGACGTTGTTGTAACTTAATCTTCTATTTTGAGGAAGATATGAGATAAATTAACATGCACCGTTTGTACGTTTTATTGGGTGCACCAATAAACGTACAAAAAAGTCGTCCATTATGATTTTGTTGGTCGTTAAATTTAAATTAATAATACATTTCTGAGCTTCCGTTTAATCAAAATGGCGTCGTAGGATGGCGACAAATGAAGAATATTGGAGTTCTGCGAAATAAGTAGAGAAGTTTATGAAATAAGTGGATTATTTGTGGTGTAATCATGAACAGTATAGTAATATATATTTTCAATTACTGGAATGGATTATTCATCCTCGTGTTCTCCACGTAGCCCCGTGGCTTTCAAGGGACCAGGGAAATCGGCGTCGTAAACTGGCTCGATGAAAAAGGCTCGATACCGCGATTTCCATGGCACCACGTGATCGAGCGCCGTATATCAGCACGCGCAGGACACCGTTACACCACATTTCGCATAATTCTCGAACTGCATAATAATATGCCCTCTGACGTCACGGCCCTACCATCGGAGATACGAGACGGTGTGTTATCAGCCGGTCCCATATTTTTACGACACCGTCAAACGTCGTCCAAGCGTCGGTCATTGGTCGTAAAAGAACATAGCTCCCCTAAGACGAATCTGATTCCCGAATAAAGAAGAAAATATTCACTTCAGAAGGGAACGAGGAATTTACTTTTACAGGATATTTAACGTTTGGATTTCGAAAAATTCGTTCATTTTTTATTATTAGGGGAGAGTGGGTAGGTTTGGGTTGTGCATACCTTATCCTTGTTATGCATACCTTATTTGCATATCAATTGTTCGTTGTTGCACTAGTAGAATTATTCAGAACCTAAACGAGAAGTTTGTTACAGTGCGAATTTAGTCTTCTGGAAGTATATGTATATTTTTCATGGTAAGTTTAATAGAAATTGCTAACCGAAATAAATCATTGGTATAAATTCGTATTGGTGTAAAAAAAGGTAAGACCTTACTGATTATAATTCTTCAGGTATAAAGTGTGTTTCTCCTTTATTTTAATCACTACTACAAGTTAATTGAAAACTGACCCAAACCTACCCACTCTCCCCTATATGTATAAATCATAGAAATTAGTTGAAGATTGATATTTTATCAGACAGTATTAAAGAGCAAAGCCTTGGGTTGGCGATAAATTAAACAGCTTGTGCGTGCATTCGCTTTCACGGCGCACAGGTTGGAAGATTCCCGGGGGAATAGTTATTCCATAGCGATTTCGAACACGCGTGCTGAAGGAGAAACTTTGACACCTATTAGAAACGACTTTCGCACGCGCATTTCACAAAGGGTATAACCGGCTCGAGTGGCCGCGTGATCAAAGTAAACGCAATTAAAACTTTGCGCCATTGAAAACGCTCCGCTCACGGACCCGAGTGGCTCGACTCCCGTATCGAAGCTTCTCAGATCCGTTTTCGAGAAATCACCGAGTGTCATTGTTTTATCGAGTTTTCCCCTTTCGAGGAGAAGCTCCGTTTACTCTTGCGTTCGAGCTTCGAACGGTTAAATCCTTCCATAATCAACAATACAACCCATCTACACTCGGTCAAAAAAATCTCCATACACCGTTTAACCTTTTGCCAAGCAAGACACTGTTATTGGAAATGAGTGGAAACCTAAAAACCGATGTTGTCTTCTTTCTGAAACATGTAAATGTTGCTTTTCTAATAACGATTTATAGGAGGTACAAAATATAGATTTTATTCGTCAATGCTTATTTTGCATTGTAATAAACACAACTTATTTAATATTTTACGCTAGCATAGCAGTGGCGGTAGTGGAGAGAAAAGGGTTAAAACAGAACAACTTTTTTAAAATTGAACCAAGTCACTTGAGTTTCTTCGTGAAGGTAGAAGGATAAATTTAGTAAATGATGTGTAAAAAAAAATTATAAATTTTGTAACATGTTGAAAAAATTCGTAGACGATGAGAAACCTTGATTATTGGCTAATATCATCGAACCTAAAAGTTTGGAATATATTATACCAACTTTTTGAAATAAGACGTTCTTTAAAATGAATCATTTGTTACTTTTGTCCCTAACCTTATGGACGAATGTAACACAGTATCTAATTTAAAAAAATACCATCTAATAGAATAGATGCTATTCAATGATACTTTTATTTATTCCATAAATAAACATAAACATAAATATATTCATAATACGACACCAAAAATTGCAAAGGAGTTAACGGAATTGAAAGAAGAAGATACATACTTGTAAGATATAATAAAAACTTACTTTTTGTATATTATTCTAGTAGGATAGTCGTTTTAGGAAAACTTACTGTTGACGGGAGACATGAAACGTGTAAAATCAGAATAAGCCAAAGATGCACATAGGAGTTTGGTCCCAGAGGTACCAAACCACGAAGAATTTCAGAATGTAATATTTACATTTTATTGGCATTAGAATAAAACAGATTCACGAAAGAAACTAAACAATATCCTAAACACAATTATTTTCTATCGAAATAAAATCTCTCGTTTCCGAAAGCTTCGCTGCAATAATGTGCACGGAGTTGCTAGTATAAAAAAAAAATGCTCGTAATAAAAATGCTTAACATTGAATAAAATAAAAACTACCCAGTGCAAAATATGAACCGTAAGGGACGGAAACGTTCCTTCTGTCGTTCCTACGAGAGAAGAATGGCTCGGGGGGTGGCGGCAGAGGTCCACCAGGCCGCCTTGAAAAAGCGCGGCGAGTGTTAAGGTAAAGAACTTCAAGCAACCGTGTATCGATTTCGCGGTCAACCGAAGTAAGTCCACGTCCATACAAGTATGTGTGCACGAAGGAGAAAATCTTTGCGTGACCGGTCGCTCGGCCGACCGCCCTCTTCGCTTCGCCGCCCTACGTCCTCCCGAGGTCCGGCCAACCCCCGAGGACTGCGGCACCTGCAATCTACGTGCGACACGAGCGGAGCCGCGATGCTCGCTCGTCCAGGCTCGTAACACAGTACGACACGTTTCGTCTCTCCTGTCCATTCGGGGAAGCCCTCCTGTAATCGATCAAAAAGCCATCCTCACAGATCATCCACCTCGATCTTCGCCCTGTCCCTGGTGGATCTTCGCGACGGTTTCCGGTTTGCTTCGAGCCACCAACGTGAATCATTTCACCGTGTCTGTCAGTGTAAACCAGGGGACCAGGAGATAAGGTTTTATTCCTGAACGTTCACGCGTTACCTCCGCTGGTCAAGCTCGAAGAGGGTTGGGGCGGCTGAAGACACTCGGAAGGAAGGGTAGGTCCGTGGCCGCAGGCAACAGGCCGAATATACACACACACGCACACATACGTAGGTGGAAATTTTGTGCACGTTGCTGTTGTGGATCGATACGAATTCTACGCGATGACGTTTCGTTGTATACCGCGACATTTTGTGTTCCGCGAATTTATGGCGTGCGAGGCGGGGGGATTTATGCGGTCGACGAGGCGCGAATCGATGCCGATTCAATTGTTACGCGATCGTTGTTACTAGCTTCAGCGATTTAGATAACGGTGATTGGTTGGTATCGGCTGGCTTCGGTGATTAATTATTGGCTGCACGGGCATTGGACCTTGGTGAATCGGGGTCTCCGATGGACACGTAATTTCCGTGATTGGCGGAGGTGTATGTTTTTCGATGCTGTTGAAAGTGGTATTTCATACTGTTATTTGGACAGTGGGAACGTGAGGAATTTTAAGGGGGATTTAATTGAAATGGTAATTTGATATCCCTTGAACAATGTTTCTTTCAGGCTTGGAGCAATTTCGTAATGTTCTGTAACATTTAATGATTATTCGATAAGTGTGTTAATACTTGAGTGGGAGTATAGATATCGCCGTGTTTCAATAAAATAATTACAAATAGATTGTTTATGAATGTAATAATGGGAACTATTAACCTGACGAAGTCAAATTATTGTTTTGCCTAATTAATTTGCACAACTGAGAAGAACAAAAATATTTCATAAACTAATGACCTTATGCTGCTGAAACTAATTGAATTCGCTTCAGTATTCCGAGCCCTATCACTGTGCTAAAACTCATTAAAAAGTCACAGTTACATCTAGAGACCTCTCTTTGTCAGTACCGAGAAGCCTTCGAACACTCATCGATGATTTCCTGTATGTAACACTAGAACTACCAGTACTAAATGTATACTAAATTAAACTGGTATAATTTAATAATATACAAGATACATAATACAATCTAGCACAATAGTTTATAACATAAAATGTATAGTAAATTGAAAACCAGCAGAAATTGAAATACGTACAAAAAGTATAATATCAAACCTGCAATTTGTCATTTTCACGAGTTTGGTAGTTCCAGTGTCAACTCATTAACTACCAGCTCCTAATCAACATTTTCCCAATAAAAACAGCACCATCTTCATTTGAAGAACACATACTTCAATCTTCCCAAAAATAATTTAACATTTATCGAACCTGCGATTCATCCTCCGTTAAATATCGAACCACCTTGAAACACTTTGTACTAATAAATCCAGTGGTGACCCAGCCAACGGTTTCGTTCATCGACGCCTGTCGGTTTCGTTCTTTCCTCACCGAGAAGGTTCCTTATCGTATGATCGATCGATCAAGAGGGGGGTCGAGCAGGCCTTTTTTAATAACACTAACAGCCTGGCCGGGGCGCGGCCCGCCCTTCGATTACAGGGTGCTGCAAGCGGCGAACGGCGTTGGTGAACGGCCACCGGAGAGATTTTTCACGCGTTGGAAGAGGTCCCTGAGTCGGTGCTGCGAGTGTTGCCCGAGCATGAGGTGTCTCGCCTGTCGTACCGACCCGAAAGGACTCGCCTGGCCCAAGAAAAACACGAGGACCGACGTGGTAACCAATACGAACGAGGTTGGCCAGCAACGCGCAGCCGCGGAGGACAATGGGCCTGTTGGATGTTGGCCGAAATTCAAGAACAGATGCAGGTACTGACGGACGAATGGCCTTGAATCAATGCAGAATAATCTACGTGGAATGATAAGCAGAATTTCGATCCCTTGCTTTCTTTGATCGATGATTTCATCTTTTTTTTATATACAGGTTGAGTAAATTGAGAACTACCATCTAAAATAATTGGTTACTTATTAACTGTATCAAAAACGTTTAAATGAATTATCAAGTTTTTTTTTATATCTTATTTTTTTGGGATTTTATGGTGACTGAGTTTTTTTAAGGTCAATGCATGTTTTTTTAATACCATCATACTATAGCTTGATGGGTTCATTGAACTTGAAAAAACTCAAGATGACCTTGACATTTAAACAAAAAAATAAGGTATAAAAAAATGAAACTGTATCCATCCGATGCGTTCCTTACATAATTTACTAAAACGTTTTCCGATAGAACTAATAGATAATGTGTTAATTTAGATACATAGTAGTTCTTGTTGACTCACCTTGAATGAGTTGAACAATGTGCAGGAATGAAGTGTTCCACTCTAAATTATTATTTTTACGTGTCAATAGAATTGGCTTTCACTCGGTATAATGACACGAGTTGTTAATGGCCGTTTACGTGATCTGATGGATCGTTGCTTTATAGATAATATTCATGGTTATGCTTTCTAGATTCATGAAATCAGAAAACTGATTTTGACGATAACGTCAGTTCTGTGTTTGCGAAGATTAGGGAACATATCGGAGGTATCAAGACATCTTATGATAGTCTAATTTTACTTATTGAAGTAATCTAGATGGTATCTAGTAATCTAGACCGTGGTTTCCACACGATAATTTTTATGCATAACTTAGAAACTTTAATAACATAGACTGCATTTTTCATACAACACGTAGCAGAACGCAGTTATTAATGGAAGAGACGAATAATTGTTTATAAATTGATCTAATATAAAAAATGTGAATGTCCATAAACATTTGTGATCTTCTTATCTACTAATAACTGTTCAGATATGGGGTAAATGTCTCAATGACTGCCAGTGTCTAAGATTGCCAATTCATTTATTTTATTTAATAAAAATGTAATATGTTATGAATTGTGTACAAAAATTTTATTAGTAAATTGGGACTCTGATTTACATAAAAACAAAAGAATATATGTATTTGTATGTAGCTGGTATTTAAAAATTCATGTTGAAAAATGAAGGTGGAATTTAAGCGTAAAAAACGCGACTATGTAATATGTAGTAAGTGATGATGAAATCATAGTAAAGAAAGATGTAATTTCACTATTCAACCTATATCTATAGTACAAAATGAACTGTCAAATTATTAGTCGGTGTACAAATTAATTCGTGGCCTTCTTTTCAAATATTTGTTGTTTATTCACAAAAAAAAACAAAGTACAGTTCTAATTTTGAAAGTAACCCCATCACTTTCTACACATTTAGGCCACTTCTTGGGCAGTTGGCGAGTCTCTTCTCGAAAAAGTGTTGATGATTTTGAGACAATTATTAATTGTAGGGGTCACAAATTAATTTGTACACTTAATACCTTAACTTTTAAGGTGACTGTTATAGGGACACTGTTTTTTTAAGAAAGAGATGTTAAATAATATTACGCTCCAAATTAAAAAAATCATTAAGTTAAATAATACTTAGATGGAAGTAATTGGGACATTTGCCCTAGTGTATTTTTATTCTTGTCGTAGGTGCAACCGACTCAGGGAAATCAAATGTTGCTCAAAAAGATCGAGGATCGCGCCAGCCGAGGCCGCCGTTTGTTGTCCACCGGAACGAAGATTCGGCGCGATTTGCCGTCGGTTGTTCGACGGCTGCAAATGTTGCAAACGGAACAACGCCGAAGCGGAACGCACAAGAAGCATACGTGCCAAGCACAGTCTTACCAGCGTCGCGCCGCCACCATTGTCAGAGGTAAACAAACGAATGAAATTATAGCCAGCGAACAAAATTATAGCCAACATAAAAAAAGAAATTTTCTTACAAAGGAGATTAAGGTGGTGTCAAAACTCGATTTTTTTGTAACTTTTATTCCTTGAATTACTAACTGTGTTGCATTAAGTTGCGACGGAAATTCATATTTATGGTAAGAGAACACCCCTAAACAGCATCTAAACCTTTTTTTGGTTTTAACACATTTGTCATCCCTTTATTTATGTTTAAATAGTATTAATAAATTCAATAGCAGAAACATTTATGAAAATTATCCTATTCTATCTGCTAAAAATCGTAAAAAACTACCCTCTGAGCGAAATAAATTCTTGCAATTTAAAAAATTCTTTGTAACGATTTTTAGGGAATAGGTAGGATAATTTTCGTAAATATTTCTGCTATTGAGTTCATTAATACTGTTCAAATATAAGTAAAGGGGTGGAAAATGTTTAGGGGTGTTTTTCTACCCTAAATATGAATTTTCCCCGAAATTTAATGCCGCACAGTTGGTAACTCGAGGCTCTATACTCATCGGCAATGTTACAAAAAATCGGGTTCTGACATCAGCCTAATCTCCCTTGTTAGAGATATTGAGAATCGTCTCTGAGATCGATGTTACTTCGTAGAAGCTTAACGGGTAATAGTTTCTTCTTCGTGGTTATTGTGGACTCCACGTGTTATTTAACGGATATACTTTTGTCGAACTATAGGAACCGAAGGCCAAGATACCAGACGTTTTGGTGGAGCACAATTCTTTAATGCGTGGCGCCATCCCCTGTCTACCAGTTCCTCTTGCCTGGTTCTGTCTAGTGTGGAACGTTTTACTGCCTGGTTCCGGTAAATCTGCATTATTTTATGGTTCATTAACCCATTTCCGTTACGACTTGAATTGCAAGCTCTGCCCCGTACCGACTTAAATTGTAAACTCTGTCCCGTGTGCATAATAATGTGATCACTCACTGTACCTAAAAAGGGTCCGGATATTTAATAATACGAAGGAAATTTTTCTGTTCGTTTCTACCAGGACCGTACGACAAAAATTATGAAACAACCTATGTATTATTAATTACATAGTATATATAATATTCACATTACTCTAGAGCATATTATATTCCTGTCTGTGGGGTACAATGCGTCAAATCGTTTACCCTCGTTTTCCCTTGTTTCCAGCTATGTCTACACTATAATCCTGAGTTGGCCAAAATGTAATCTAATTACAAAATCCAAATCACAATTACAATTTAATTGCAAGACAATTACAATTACATTGTAATTTTTCTTGTAAATTTAGTATAGCTAATTACAATGTAATTGTAATTGTCTTGCAATTAAATTGTAATTGTGATTTGGATTTTGTAATCAGATTACATTTTGGCCAACTCTACTTTAACACGTTCACGCCGGCGCGGGCCACCGGTGGCCCGTATATACCCGCATTATAATCGGCCCCGGCGTGAACGTGTTAATAAAGCAAATAGATCGACTAACCGATTGAATTATCACTTTCAGGTACCGTCTGGAGCGGTCTATTCAACTTGTGCTCGGGCCAACCGAGATTCTCAGCGGTCGCCGGACTGAAATCGCGGCTTGGAGCTTTCGTGGTGAACCTGGTGGTCGGAGTAGGTCAATTGTTCACAGTTTTATTCTGCCTGGTTGGGTGGGGCTGGAGCATCTGGTGGGGAGTCACTCTGGTCCGTTTAGCCAGTAAGTAATATTGATTATCGATCGAAATTCGATTATTCGCCTGGTAAACGATGCAACACCCTTACAAAGTTGGATAAAGTTTCAAATTCTCAAGAAAAACCAAGTTCAAACTCCATGTTTCAAATTCTTCAAATACCTCTATACCGATCGATAATCGTTCGTGAACAAACGTTACGGTAATTGTCAACGTAAGGAAAAACTCGTAATCTTTTTTTTTACAGGGAAATACAAGCGATTCAAGGCTTCCGAAGCAGCCATCAACGACCCAGAAGCCAGGGGAGGAGAACCTGCAGCTCTGCCTCCAGGTGTGCCGAGTCAGGCGCTGAGGGGAATGGAACGGGCTCGATAACCGAAAACAATTACCGTTTCGGTCCGAGATTCTCTTTAAAAAAGAAAAAAAAAAACGTTTTTATATCGTTCGATTACGATTCTTCACTACGTGCCTTCTCGAAAGCTGCGAATACCGATCGTACGCTCAGGGGATCAGAAAATCCGGGGTTACGAAAGACGTTTCACAGAGAAGTCCACGATCCTCTTACCGAGTGATCGCGTTCATTCGAGATCAACGAAAGATCAAGAAGTATTGTAGGTAAAATTTCTAACAAAATCCACAAAGAAATTCGAAGAGAATACTATTCGCGGATTTCTTTGGCAACGATCAAGAGGGTGGAATTTTTAATAAAAAATCGATTTCGAAGAAGTTTCGAGAGGAATGATTTTGAATAGCCGATGCTCGAATCAGAGCGCAAGGGTTTTTTCACGGGAATTTTCGCGGTTCCGCGAAAAGAAAAAAAAATGAAACGTAAAACGATAGTAGTAGCGGCTCGCGATCGAGGAACGAAACGAAGTTCTTGGAAATTAATCGCTTTCAGTGAAAGCATACCTATCGGTGGCGTTCTTTTCAAAATGTACTCGTTGCGTCGATCGATGTTGCCTTTTCGTTTGTTTTTTTTTTTTTTCGTTCGTTTCTTTCATTTTCTCGCCCTCGACGGCCGCCAGCCGTCCTCCGGGGAACGAGAGGCGTGCAAACGTTTGCGGAGAAAATTGAGCAGCGTGTACCTTCTCCGTTCTGCTTCCTGTCCCTCCACACCCGTCTCATCCGTCCCGAAGGTGTTTTTTCTCGTTTCTTTTCTACGTCGATGGAATAAATACGTTTTGAAAGAAACGCACTTTATATTTTTACAAGCGCAACACATATATATATGTATACATACATCCATATATTCAGCTATCCGATTATTAAAGCCTTATCAACTAAAATCCTTGTAAATATGAAAAATATATTACTTACATCGGTTTTTAATCTACACGCTGCTGTCTGGTAATTGTTTCCCTCCCCCCGTTTTTTTTTCAGCCCCTAAACAGCCGAAGAGGATTTATCCACTTATTGTCGCAAAATATTTCATTTAAATCGAGAACGTCTTATCTATGCTTCCTGTATTCGGTACCGTCGTAGGAGATTCTGCGTTTTGGAGTTTCGAATCAGAAATCGGGTGATTTAATAATTAACGAATCACAATTTTATTTAGTCACCTGTGGTACAGTTCGATCGATAGATCCGTGAACGTGCGTGGTCGTGTCACTTACGTTGTACGGTTATTTATAAAGTAATCGATCACTTCAGAGGATTCCTTGTGTAAAAATAAATCGAAATCTCATTTCAGTGAATTTTCATTTTTCAGTAATCACTGTCGAAAAAATATATATTTATGTATATTTATATATAATATGAGAATTTAACAAATTTTAACCACGTTTAGGGAAACAACTCGGCTGTTACGTTGCCGAACATTGATACATGAACAGTTTTCATTATATACAGAATATTATTATAAACCACTTAAATATTAATACTGACAAGTAGAGTAAGATCGACGCGACCAGACAAGCAGATTACGTTGTTACTGATCGGATAATTAGAATAGACAGTCATCGATCTGGTAAGTAGAATACACAACCAATTTCCAGCCAAGTAGAATGGGTCGTCACTGGTCAGACAAGCAGAATAAGTCTACAATCGTCAATAGGATATTCACGCTGCGGTAGTATTATAATTTCACAATTTCGACTTATTTTTTAAACGAAGAATTAATAAAAAAAAAAAAGAACTGTTACAATTTGACACTCTTTTTTTCTTGAATTCCACACGATCTTGCCGAAACGTGTGATCATGCGACGACGCAAGGTGATCGAAATAACATCCAGGGGTCCGCCGTCAACATCCAGGTGCACGGTTCTGGAAACAACGAGGACACAGAAGAAAAAGGAAAACCAAAGACAAGATGCTTCTACCGATTGGTACAACATGCGCATGCTTCGAGCAGGATCTAGCCGAAGAACTACTAATAAAAGCACGCGCAGGGGGAATCGATTGCATGCTCAAGCAGCTCTATTTCAGGCAGCCCGTTATCATGATCCCGTTATTTTCGTTTTATCGAAGGACTTAGGCTGGCATCTAGCTTCTTGTAGCGTTTTATTGCGCGTTTGTAAATGGAGCTCTGTCGCTTCTCGTGCGAATAAGTTTCATCATGTACGGATGTTGGAATGGTCGGGGTCGTTGTGAGAGGTGTTGCTTCTTCCATCCCGGGAAGAAGCTGGATTAATAAAGAAGAATAGAACTTCGTGGTTTGTGTGGCCCTTGGTTGTACCTTTAATGTTTCTTTGGGTAAATATTTCCAATAAGGGAGTCTGATTTCGATGATTTTTTAATATGTTGTAAAGGTCATCATCCTCAGTAGTATTGCGATGGTTTTAGTTGGGAATCGCCGTTTGTAAAAAAGTTATTATTAAAAAAAATTTAGTACTTTATTTTAGTAGTGTTGATAAATAAAATGACCTATGACCTTGGAATATGTTGTCAAGCTCACCCTCCTGAATGATCTTGAGAAAATTTCAGTTATGAAATGTTGTTTGTTAAAAACTTATTAAGAGAACAATGATACATTTTTCTGTCTGTAACTTTGAATGACGTTTTTTCTCGAACTGTGTCTAACCAACTCTAAAGCATTATACTGATTGGAGTTGGTTAGAGACAGTCCAAGGAAAAACTTCGATTTTTCCTTGGACTGTCGATTTGGGAAGGCCAAACTTCTAAACAATTATCGACCTAAACTTTTTTTTAATAATAATACTTTTACAAACGGCGACCCCCAATTAAAACTTTCAAAATACTACTAAAGGTGATGACCCTGATAATATATTGAAAAATCATCAAAATCGAAGGTGGCTCCTTTATTGTAAATATTTACCTTCCTTTGTGTTTGATCCGTCGGTGGAACGTTTAATCCCTGGCGATGTGACGTTTGCTTAATCGAGTCATGAGTAATTTCCACCACAGGTGGAGTAAACACTTTTCTTTTTGGATAGAGTAACACGATCAATTTTGGATTAAGTGACGTGTAAATAAAAATTGTTTGCTGGTAGTAGTGAAGAATGTATAACTATGTCAATTGTAAATTGTTTCAGAAAACAGTATTTGCCAGAGGAAGGAGTGAATGTATGATTCAATCTAATAGAACTTATTTCGAACACATTTTGACCCGACAAATATACAATTATATACTGCAACTCTCTGTATTAACTTTCTTTGAATTTAAAATGAATTCTTTGAATCTAACTTCTTTATTTTCGTACAGCAATGAAAGTTATGAAAGATCCGACCTAAATCCACTTTTGTGAGATTTTAATCCACTATCCCCAAAGGAATTTAACCCTTTAATAATGTTCGACGAGTATACTCGTCATAAGGAAATTACTATTTTTTAGTTAACGACGAGTATACTCGTCCAGTGAAAAAATAAAACAGCGTTTGCTATAAAAATTGAAATTTTCGAGAGTATTGTACCGTTCAGTGTGTTCAATGAAGATCGAGTCGATTCATCTTTCACAAATGGCCTCGTTATTTTTTCAACATAGAAGTATCAACGTAAAAAACAATTTTTTTTAAACGAATTAATGAGAGACGTAACCATTTGGCAACCGACCCCATGGAAATCCGTCGAGATTTACAGCGGCATTTCCCGTAATAAACATCTGGATTTATCGTGAACTCCCGTGGGCGAGTCGAGCGGGCTATTATTTATTTATTTATTCGGGGCGTGTCACCGTGAGATTGGATGGGGGTGGTGGCTGGTCTGTGGGTGCTCGAAATCGCAACACGTTGTCTGTGAGCTGTGTTCTCCTTTGGCACACGCTCTGGAATTGTTAACAAAAGACGGCCGAGTTATGCAAACCGCGCACGCGGCCATGGTCGCGTTTCCCTGTGTTTGCAAACTCGGCAATCTTGTGGCAGAAGTGGCGTAACTCTGTGTCGTGGTTCCTGCAGGGAAATGGAAATTATAAAAGGGAGGGCCGCCGCGAGTCTGTGAAATTAACAATCGTTTTGCATATTATTCATGTAACTGTATGGGGTGTCTTATGTCTGGGTAGTAGAACCGGACAGGAGGTGGTTCTATGTAAAAGAAATAAGTTGAAAAGAAAAGAATGAAATTCTTTCGGGTGATACTTTTTTTTCGACAGAATCGAACTTGAATGTTTCTTGGATAGGGTAGATGTCTCGATTAATACCACCTTAAGCTTGTAACGTAACTTCATTTAATTAGTGTACGTATTGTTTAACCTAAAAATCTTTTTAGGAAAATCTTAGATGATAAAAATCTTTAGATGAATTTTTAAACAGTTTTCTCGAGAACGAAACCATAAACGGAAAAAATTTCTTTTTTTTTTTTACTTATCTTTTCTTATAGAATCACCTCTTGCCCGTCGTACTACCCAATCTGAGACACCCTGTATATTGATCAGTAGCGAGTATGTCGGGGAGACTCGTAAAGCTTCGGGTTAGGCTCTTTTGCCTCTTGTACTGATTTCCAACAGTGAATGATTAAGAGGATTGCGGTTTAATTAAAAAAAAAACTCAACGTACAAGGTATGGGAAAAGTAACAGGTATGACAATAGATTAATTCGAATACTCTTCATATTGTTAAAACTGGTTCATTTTATTCAATGTATGAATAGATTTCTGGAGATGATTTCTTATAATACTTTGAATAAAATGTACGATTTTTCGAAATATGATCGGTGATTGAATTAATACATTGTCGACTCTATTATTTATGAGACACTGTGTATAACGCCAAAAATTTATAGAATGTTCTTTTTTGGTAAAATATTAGAACTTCGATCAAGTTGTTTTCACAAATTCACAGCTTGAAATCTTACGGTTGCAAAATCGACGTTTAACAAATTACTCGAACAAGTTGAAAAGAAACTTTCATGAGAGAAGTAGAAAGTAAGCATTGTTATTTTCCATTTACATTAACGAACGTTCTGGACCCATTGTGACTCGAACA